ATGTGGCCACACTTCCAGCTTTATCACATTCCTCAGCATCCTGTACCCACTGGTCTCTGCTGATTTCCACACCATTAGCCCTAAGAGATGTGATGGCTCTGTCAATGATTTTTCTCCACCATCTGGGTATTACTACTGGCTTCCTCCAGTTTGGCAGCAGTAATCCAGATGTGACGATCCGTGGGGATATTCTCCCAGGCTTTGTTGAGGACTTTATGAGCGCTCTTATATGTCTCCAGCCTTGTCAGCGCCAGCCACAGTTTCACACTGGTTGGACAGCACTCCACAGCCTGGCTCAGCATGATCCTGGCATCCTCAGGTTCCTCCAGCTCCACGGCTGCTTTCCACAAACACACTGAGTTTGGAACATGCTCAAGGGCTTTCCTAAGGACATGTTTCATGGCATAGATGTCTGTCTCCAGCTCTGCTGCTCTAACACAGATCCACACAGACTGTGGCAGGCGCCGCACAGCCTGGCTGTATCTCCTGGCTGAAGTTGAGCAACTTCCAACCAAACAGTTTCACTCTTAGGGCGTATCTCTGTTCCTTTCATGATGAGGTTTAAAGCCACCTGGAGTTTGCCAGTGACCTTCTCCAGTTGGGCTGATGCTATCCAGGCTGGTGGATGATGAGGATTGGTCTCTCGGACAGATTTCAGGAGCAAACGGGCTTTTCTGATATCACTGGTATCTCCTCCATGTGTGGGAATCATGGAATTCAAGTCTGTCAAATATCTTTTTGAGTCCACTATGGTCTGGCCAGTCACAGAGTCTGACACCTGGCTTAGCCTCATATCCATCAAGGTCTTCCTGGCTTGGCCAATCTTTCTCATATCCAATCCACCTGCCCCAGGTGTCATCAAGACTGGTGTCATTCCTCCTGGGTAGAGAGTATTCAAACCCCCTGGATACGGAGTATTCAGTCCACCAAATTGTGTCTGGCATGAGTCCACGGTAGTGTGATTCTTCTGACTGCGAATGCTTTGCAAAGAAGCTGTCGGGGACAGAAGTCAGCTTCTCATAACGAGGATTCCTCTGTCACTTGTTCCTGGCATCCTCAAGTATTTGGGATACTCAGCCACTCCTCCTCAGTAAACTCTGCTAATTTCCATTTCAAGTCTGAGAACTGCTGTTGAATTTTGGGTTGTTCCGTACATTACTTTTCTATTTCCTCTTTTTCTCATCGTTCCCTCCTTTCTTTCCTGCATTCATCCATCCTCTTATCCAAAGCTGCATAAATAGAATCTGCTTCTTCATCATCTTTCCCGTAGGGGCCGCTTGAGAACAGGCTCCCAGCATAGCCATTGAACTCATCATAGTTGGTGTCATTCAAAATCCCCATCATCATCTGCTGTCTGGTTCTTCTTCATCTGGTTTCCCACAGTTCTCTTGCCCGGCGGGGTGTACTGGTCATCCACAAGGTCGTTGGCATTGCGGGCAGGGCCAATATCAGAGTGGCTGGTGAAACCTGTGGTTCTGTGGCCCAGCCCTGGGAGGTAGCCCAGGGGCACGGGCATGCCCAGGAACGGCTTCTTCTTTGAGTTCATGATGGTGGTGGCAAGGTGAGACAGAAGCCAGAGCAGAGCTGTAAGAGACAGCCAGGAGAGTGGTGGCAGAAGCAGCAGCGGAAGCTAATTCCCTTCCCCAAGCAGCAACTGACTATCCTCCGAAGCGAACAGAGACCAGCTGATCTGCCCCAGCCCCATCTCTTACCTGCCTGATTCTCACAGTATCTCTGCCCCTCAGAGAGAAACTCCCAGATAATAGAGGTGCAACCAGATGCCCTCCTCCGCTAAGCCTGGCCAAGTCTCTTGTTTTTCTTAAGCACCCTGTTTTTCTGAAGAACCCAGTCATTAATGTTTCCTGGCAACTTAATGGGAAAAAAATTCTGTATGTAAAAAGGAACAAAAGGAAAGAAACCAAACCCCCTGTGATAGTTTGAAAGCAAACCAGTGGGAGACCCCAAGTCAGAACTACAATTTACTAGGAAAATTCAAATAAAATGCAGTAGCACAAAAACACTGACAGAGTCAGAATACAACCTGACACCTTGTTGGTCAGGGTGTTGGTAGCAGTCCTATTAAATGGTGGCTGCAGTCCTCCTGGAGTGACAGATGTGGTTCTGTTGAAGCAGTGATCCTGTAGAAGGGTATAGTTTTCCTCTGAAGGTCCAGTGGTGGTGTAAATGGGCCTGGTATTCCTCTGGGAACCCAGTGGAAAAGGCTGTTTGTAGTGCTCCAAGTCTCAAGATTATATTCAGGTAAGAATGCTTGGCTTCTCCCACTGGGCAAAGCATCTCACAATGGGATGATGTGATTTTATCAGTCATGCTGATTAAGACTCAATGGCCCATTAAGAGAAGACATCCCCTTAGAGTCGTGAGGGATGGGACTTGGAAAAGATAAAAGAACACTGCCTCACCTGGTTTTAACAGTTGGTAATAGAATAGATACTTTTGGTTATGTCCTGAATTGCAGCCTAAGACACCCTCAACAGCTGGGCTTTTGCCCTGACAAATCTTGATAAATGATATGTAGGGAACAGTCCAGTTTAATTTTAAACTGATGAGATTATAGCATTTTCTGATGCTTAATTACTGCTGTTTATACAGTATATTGCTAGAATTTCAGATAGTTTCTATGAAATGTAAGTACAGTTAAGCACTTTAGAGAGTTTGTATTTTTGAACTTTGAAAACTAAAAGTAACAAAGCCTATTAATGAAGATTGTACATTAAAAGAAAAGAAAAAACCACCAAACACACCTAGACATCTCTTTTTGAACTGTTCAAGCCCTTTCCTGTGGCAAAAACGAAGCAAAACTTTAGCTACCTCCTTGTGAAGGGAACTGCTAGAAAAGATTATCAGAAAGAAGTGAATTTTAGAATTCCAGTCCGGTTAAAGACATGTGCCAATGCTGAACTTTGTCCTGGGTTTGCAGATGCTATGACTCCCCTCTCCCAAACCTGCACAGGAGGAGGACTCCTGACATTGTCTTTATCTCACACAGATGATTTAACTTCCCACTGACCAAAAATAGCCAGAAATTATGTTTGCCCCACCACACCAAGTCAATCTAAGCAAGAGCTGTGCATTTTGTTGGATGATTTGTGCCAACATCAACGACTATTAACTGGAGAACATTAAATACAAGACTGTGCTTTTTAAAAGGCATGAAGTACTGTACAAAATGGTACTTTATGTGATATAAATAAGTTGTTCAGTGTAAGACAACTTCTTTCCATGTCACTAGAACAAAGCTGTCTGCTGTAGGATGGCAGTAGGGTCTGTCAGGCTCCAACTGCAGGGGCTGCCTCAGACATGTGTCTGTGTTACCACATTGCGGTATAATAAATCATTAAAATGTAAATACTGGCCATGAACAGGTTGCACACAAAATAAGATTGCAGGAGTGAAAGACAGAGGGAAAACCTGCCATTCCATTTGGTTTTACTCTGTTTACTCCTGAGTAAACAGTTGAATAATGGATGTTTCTGTTAATGGCAGTGAAATTAAAGCATTTTTCTTTAAATCATTCTGCTATCCATTGGGTGTTATTATTGGTGTGTGCAAGTTTTGGAGGGCAAGTGCTGCCAGCCATCCTCCCACTTGAGGAACTGTCTTTGGAGCTGTTTCCAAGTCAGTGATTGACTGCTGCTGCTGAGGTGAGAGCAGGGCAACCAGACCAAAATTGTTACAGGTTGAGTAAAAAAAAAAAAGTCTGCATGGATTCCAGTACCTGGAGAAGTACAAAGTAACCCATAAGTGGTAAAAGGGGACTAAATGGGGCAGAGTGGACCTGGTGCACCATAATTAAATGTGCTGATGGCCGAGCAGGATTTCCTGGTCTCCTCCTGTTTCTCCCTCAGGCATTCACTAAAGTTTTGGTGCTTTTGACGGCCACAGCACTGCACAGTGATGTCAGAGGCCCTTTCCTTGGGGGGAAGAACCAGGAATTGGTTCTGAGAGTCCAAACTGGACAGGCCACCTCACACACCCACTGCATGTCTTGGTGCCCTACATTTAGAAGATTAATGGAAAAAGCTCTTGCCCTTGGAGGCTGGAGTGGATTGACATCTCCAGCTCTTGGAGAGAACAGTCAAGTTTCACCAACTTGCATGGTCACTCACAGCATGGAGAGTTGAACACTTACTGGACCTTGGTCAGCAAGTGTATGATCCTTGTGCTTCCCTTTGGACACCTTCATGCAGGAAACCAGCTCCTAGAATAATGGATATGTACATACATCAAACAATGCATAATTTTGTGAAAAACTTGGTGTATAGCAAATATTGGCTGAATATATAAGCCAGTACCAGGGTGGATGTGGGTGCCTAACTGAAAAAAAAAAAAAAAAGTTAATAATCCCTTTTATGCAGACTGCATTTGGTGTACAAAAGCAACTTGGGAATACATTCCCCAGCTAATGACACCTCAGTGACTCTAGGGTCTCTGTTTACGTGATTTATGTAAAAGCAACTTCAAACTAAATTAATAGTGTCCTTTTCAGTATAAATGGATTGAAAAACATTATGTGTAGTTTGTATTTTGTATAAAACAAGAAAATACAACTATTTGACCATAGGTGTTTGGTGACAGCTTCTGTTCTGTGTGGGATGCTGCCAAAAATGGCTCAGCTCAATAAAGTGGCTCATAAAGTCCTTAACAGCCCTACCCCTCCTGCCTCCTCCTCCTCAGCTGAACAGGACTGACACTTGCTACTGGAAAAGAGATATGTGATATAAATATACACACATTTTGCATTTATATAATATATAAAACATAGACACACTTACCTCTGTAGCGTAATATGTGCTATCTACACTAATGCAACCCACTATAATACAAAACATAGACTATATACACTGGATACACAACAGTAGCTAGACCTTACACAGTCCTTGCAGGACTTCCCTTTGTCTGAGACAGGACAGGGGAGAGGCAATGCTGGTGACTGGAGCAGCCTCTCCTTTGCTTCCCGACACGGAAAGGCAGCCACTCCATCAGAATTAAACATCAAATTTATTGCATAATACTGTACTATGTACACACACATTGAAAATAAACATTTGATATAATTGTATATTTGTCTTCAATGCTGCATTAGAAAGAGGCTGGGGGCTCTCAATGTAGCCCACAGCTCGTCCTTAAAAAAAAAAAAAATCCATAAGCCTAAAACCTTTTGTTACGAGGTGCAAAGTTCAATACTGTAAATTGAACATGATGCATAAATACTATTTCCTAATAACAAGTCAATGTCAAGACCACCCTAGGCTTAAAATGAGATTTACACCAAAGTCTGAGAAATGGCAAGGGAGAAGGGAGAAAAATCATTCAAACTTCACTTAATGGGGCAGTGAGACCGAGGAAAAGAGGACAAAAGCTCTCCAATTATAAAGGATAGATTTAGGTAGAGATTTTTCAACATTTTCAGTTTAATTCGTACAGATTGTCCTTCAGGCCCCCTGGCAAAACAGTTGCTAAGTGAGAGGGCGGTTCTCAAACAGCAAAGTAAAGTAAGCCTAACTGCAAAGATCAAACTAGTCTACAGACAGAGCTATCACTCAAATGGGGATTTTCTACTCCTTTCTTTGACCTGACAAGACTGGAGAGATTGTGTACCCTTCCCACACTCCCACAGCCCTGCACTCGCACATCCATGCACACAGCTCCTCTGGACAAAGGTGGCAGCAGTAAAAGCAGCCACCTCACCTTGTACTGGAGTAACGGGGCTGTTGGGATGGAAAAAGAGGGTGGCCCACCCACCCAGACTGCAGACCTACCAGGACAGAAACACAACACCAGGGAGGCATTCAGAGAAACCTGCTATGATAGGCAGGGCTTGTCCTTCCACAAGCCTAACACAAACCTCACTCCAGAGGGATTCTAAGGCTTCTTTGAGAAGCCTGAAAACAAAATTCAAGACAAGTGAGGAAAAACAAGCCAACCTCAGTAAACTACAGTATTTTCCATGACAAATCCTGGTGCAAGAAGACAGAACATCACTAATGCACCGCCCTGGGGTCACAAATGTCATCCCAGCCCAGTACCATCCACCAAGGACTGAAGGGCAGAGGAGATAGCTCCATTCAAAACAAACAAGAACCAGCTTGCATTTAATAAGGGAGGGAAAAAGGGTGGGGGGAAATCACAGCTTTTCAAAGAGGAGATCGCTATGTCATCCTGTTTCCACCATACCCTAAATGCAAAGGACATCAAAATATTTCAACTGAACTAAAAGAAGAGGTAAGATTGTGTGTGTATGGGGGCAACAAAAGCAAACCACAAGGAATTGCCAGGAGGGTAGTGATGTCATGTTGGAGGGAAAACAACAGAAATGCCCACTGAACTGGTTTTGTTCAGTATATGAAAAAATTCAAAGCAAGAGCCTCTCCCTGCTGAATCCCCACAAAATGCTGGCAGCATCAAGCTGAGACTGCATCATCTCTATTACTATAATTATTTATATTTAGACCCCTCCAAAAGAAAAAAAAAAAAGAAAAAAAAGGAAAAAAAAGTTCAGACCTATTCTCTTACAAAAATAAAGCCCAAGCCCATTGTTCTGTTGCTCAGCACCCAAGAGTCTGTGCTGGCCCCACAGGGTCAGGCCAAGCTGAAGCCCTCGTAATGATCAATGGCCTGGACGAGGCGGGCGCTGAGGATCTCCTTGCTGCTGTACTTGGGCAGGTCCAGCAGGTTATAGCAGGTGTGAGCCACAGGCAGGTACTGCTCCCCGCTGGGTGTCGACTGGATGATGATGCGCAGGCTGGACATGCCGTAGATGGGAATGCGGTCACTGCCCGTCAGGAACACTGCGAAAGCACAAGGGAGGCCAGGCAGGTGGGACAGGTGAGGGACCTTCCACCAGGGCTGCAAATTCAGCCCCATTTGCCTGGAGGGGCTGAAACCCTGACCTGACTCCATGCAGAGCCTGGCTGGCACCCAGGGGAGCTGCAGCACATCAAGGCCAGTGCCAGGCACGAACACTGGCCATTATCCTTCCAGCAGCCACAGAATCTGGGGGGCTGAGGTTGAAGGGACCTCTGGAGGTCCTCAGGGCCAACCCCCTGCTCAAGCAGGGCCACCTAGAGCCAGCTAAGTGGCTAGGACAGAAGGGAAAAACCACAACAGAGGGATGCCCCAGCTCTGACTAGCAGATATTGTCACTCATGTTGGATCGCCCGACTCAATGCAATGAAGCTCTGCAGCCACTCCCACTCAAGCCTTTTAATTCCAGGAGATGCTACACCACTGCAAGATACTTACAGAGAAATTTCTTCTTCTTTTCCAAGGGAAATTCATGGAAGGTTTCCCAGAACATTCTCACAGTTGGGTGTGTGGCAGTGTAGTCTCCCTTATAGACAGCGCTCTATTAAAAACCAAAATACCACATTTTCAGCTGGCACTAGAAAACAAAGACTAAGTAGAACCACACCTGATCTTTTCTCGTATCTGACATTACATCTGTGTCTGATAGCTTTGAAAGGGAACCCAGGATGGGTGATGGGCAATGGCATGGCTCAAAGACACTGGCAATGTGAGGAAGGCAGACATTAGCCTTCTGTTATTCAGCTAATTACAAGCCTGGAGAGCAATTCTGGAGTGCCTTTTCACAGGCTGAACTCATGAACAGGATCATACATTCTGCACTGTGAGTGAGTTGCTGGTCTATGGATTTTGAGAGGATACAACCCTTTTCGGGTGTCCACACTACCCTCTGAACCCTTGTATAGTTATTGCCCTTGTGCAGTCAAGTTTTACTGCAAAGGTAAAACCCTTTGTGTCCTCCCTTCAGCAATAGATTTCATCCCTAAAAAAAGCAATGGAAGTACTTCTCCCTGTCCTTCCTCATCCTGAATTTCCTCCCTGAGCTTTATCTGTAGCAGGGTAGCACAGTCAGAAACTTTTCATGTGAGTGACAGCAAAGTGTACAAGGAGCATGATAAGAAAAGTATTGTGGCTTATCCCATCTCCTGACACAGACTAATGCCCATCTGTCGTGGTTTGACACAGAAAAATATTTTTTCCGGAAGGGGCCAATTTGAATATTGACCAATTTAAGGTGAACACGCCTCTGAGAACACAGAGGGGTTAAAAGCAGAATTCCCAGGAGAACTCGCTCTCTTTGGTTCCGGTCAGCATGCAGTGCAGCCTCTCCCCTGCCCAGCCGTGGCTGGGTGGGGAGGGGAAGGCCCATGGCCTGACGGAGGTAGACCCAAGGGTGGAGGGACTGGAACTGGGCTGGCCCCTGCAGATGGAAGGGTGGAGGAAATCTAGGATGTCTCCATTCCCCCCCAGAGTCTCTCTCTCTCTTGAGAGAGAGACAGCAGCAGCAGTTTTTATCAGCAGTTCACTGCGGGGAAGGAGAAGAGCGGGGGGGCCGCAAGGTGGCCAGCTGCCTGTTGGATCCGGCGTCTGGGCATCGAGCCATCCTGGGAGTTGGGACTTTTAACCCTTCCTGAGAAATGAAAGCTTTGTGAAATTTTTCCCCTCCTCAGTTTGAAAGAGAGGAAGAGAGACAGCTTGGACCCTGGGATGTTAGAAGGAAGAATTCTAGATGGGAGGGGATGACAGAGTGGCTTTTTGGCTGGACTTTTTCCTTGGCAGCCATAGACCGAATCAAATTTTCTCCTCCAAGAGAGACTATTTTGGGAGGATGCCAGTGAGCCAAGAGATCTGCTTCAGCTGGGAAAAGACAGAAGTGGAGCGAACAGAGAAAAGTTACGGGATTTGTGGTGGTGCCCCCTGTCCTTAAAGAAAGAGAAGAAGATCTCTGTTCTTGGACCCTCGGCCCCAGGGGAAAAGGAGGGGGGACTGTGGTCCCAAAAAATTAAAAACTGAACTGTTGTTTTCTTCCCCCTCTTGGCAGGGCATCCTTGAAAGGAAATCCTAAAAGCAGTCTGTTCATCCATGCATTGGTGGTGAGAGCACTGTGCATGGAAAGGAGAAGGATCACCATGGCAAACTTTTTCTCCAGGTGGTGCCATGTGAGACATGGAAACACAGGATGTGGAGCTGTGTTTTCTTGGGGGGTCTGTGGCACAGGAGAGACTCCTGTGGTCCTTGATGGACTGACTATCGATTGTCTGGAGAGTGAAAACCTGATTGGGGTCCAGATTGTGTCTCACTGTGGTTTGTTGGAGTTGGGTGGTGGGAGGAGGAATGCTTTGCAAGGTTTCCATTTTGATCTTTGTGTGTGGGGGTTTTTTTTCCTTTCCTTTTTTTTTCCTTTTATAGTAGTAGCTTAATAAAGTTTTTTTCCTGTTACTAAGCTTGGGCCTGCTTTGCTCTGTTCTCGATTGCATTTCACAGCATTCAATTGAGAGATTGCATTTTCATGGGGGTACTGGCATTGTGCCAGTGTCAAACCATGACACCATCTCATGCAACTGCACAATCCTGGTACATGTGCAAAATAAAAAATGGTACAAGAGGGAAGCTTTACCTCCTCCAGTTCCTCCCAGTTGTAGTTACTGTTTCCAACTATCATGGCCCTGAGCTCTGTGGGCTGGAAGAGTTCCAGGACCTTCCCACCACACACTTTCAGGAAGCCAGTAGAAAAGGCTGTGTACCACTCTTGGATGGAGAGGTTGAAGATGTAATTTACGTAGGCTTCGACAAATTCTTCCCTAATGCATTGAGAGAAAGCAGGCAAAGGAAAACACTTTTAATCATATGTCTAAGCACCAGCACTGCTAGGTTTTCCTGCTTCTGCTTGTAAAGTGTTTTGCAAACACGAGTCCTCAGCAGGCTCAACCCACTGCCCTCCTCTCACCAGGTTGCAAGTCACTGCAGCACGGACAGAGTGCTCAGCACAAGTGCTACTATGTCTGTGCTTAATCCCCAGCAGTGGTGGCATGGGAGGTCCCCTACGCTCTTGACCACCACTAAAGCTGAGGAGGTTACAACTGCAAGAAACACTTTGGCCATTCGATGGAGTTCTCACCACATACAACTATGCAAAAGCAGCAAGGGACAGGTGAGGAAGTAAAAAGGAAATAAGGAAGCAGACTAACAAAACCTAAAACCTGGACTAAGAAAGCATCTACCAATTATTTTCCAGTGCATTTGTTTTATTGTCATTTTCCCCATAGTCACCTGGGCATTAGGGCCATTCAAGCTGATTAAGCACTTTACTGTTGCTTAATTCCTCTCCGGCTGTTACAGTCATGAACTCTGCATCAAGAGCATTTTATGAACTCCAAAGGAGAAAGGGAAAATGCAGGCATTTCCTACTTTGCATTTGTCAGTTACAGCAATCCTGTCCAGTCCTGGTTCCCAATGAACTCTCCTCTCATGGGAAGGGCAGCGCCCACAGACATGCACACAACAAACTATGTAGGCCATAGGGCAGCAAATTGGTCCCTGGCCTCTAAACGTAGAGGTGGAGGAAGTCATTAAGCACTGTAAGGTAAATTGACAGTCACATCTAGACTTGGATTTAGAGGTTAATTTGAGTTCAGAACTCCAGTCAGGAAAGCAACTGAATTTTGGAATGTTAAGCTTGTGGAACTACACACTAGCTTTTCTTCTTAAGGATTTTCTTCCTTTGTTTCCTATCCTGACTTAAACAGTTCCAGTAGTTAACCCTGGTGGCTCTTCGCAAGTGTTCCCCGCTAACATCTTTGTTCCTTTTTACTGGATGGCATACAGTAAAATAAAGGCAGGTTTTCTTTTGAATGTATATGCCCAACCTAAAAATCTAAAGGGCTCTAACACTGGCATTTTTTATCTTTCCTTCACTGTTGCAGGGTAAATGAAACACTCCTCTGGTTTACCTGAAGTCCATCTTCTCTTTTCAGTGAGACAGAAACTCATGTGGGTTTTGCATGGAAGCAGTTCTTTAGCTGTGTAATTTCACCATTTTGGGGAGTAGTAAAGTAGGTAAGAAGTAGCACAGACAAAGCTTTTGCTATAGCAATGGCTTCAGACACATTCAAAACCCTTTTAAATAATGAGATTAATAGGAAATTACTTCATCTCCAGCCTTGCCAGCAAGGTCTTCAGCAACCCTAATACAAGTCCCTAGCCATGCTGCTGACTAGCCACTGGATCACAATGTTTTGCCAGCAGAGAAAGAATGCGAACACTGCTTCAAGTAATAAAGGCACTTATAGAAATCCAATTACAAGATTATGGGAAGAAAATAGTTCAGCAGCTGGACAAAAAAAGGCAGAAGGAATGGTAGCTGTGCTAGTAATAACTGTGGGTTGTTCAGTCAAATGTAAAGATCCAAGTACAGCAGGTCCTTCTGGCTGTGATCAGGGATGGGAGTCAGGCTGTGCTCAAAGGAAAGTTTCTGGCTTCAGAATCAGGAGTACAAAGAAGTCTGCTAGGCTCAGTTTTGTTGGTTACATACAGCTCCTCTGTGAGCCATCAGATGTATTAACTTGGGCCAAAATCATGTCTCAAATGTCTACTTAAAATGAGAAAAACTATCAAGAGTTTATATAGAGGCCTTTTATAGGGAATGTGTCAATCCAAGTGAATGGTACATTTTACAAATATTGGCAGGAAGATGATTTTTGTTCAAGTGCCACTAGTGCCCAGTAATTTTTGAGCAACTGGTCTTAAAATTTGTTTGCAGTGACTGCTTATTAGCCCCCACATTTCCCTTCAGCCAGGGTTTCTGTGGCACATGACTTCACTACAAGCATGAGTCCATCCCCACTTGCCTATTGTTCTTCTGTACCAGGATTTTATCTCCATGTTCAATCAGGTTCTTCTGCTCTGTCACACCATAGCTTTCCCTGCAGATCTGTACAAAAACAGGAAATTAATTTTACCAGATGTATTTTCCAAGGCATGTGCCGATAAGAAAGACAGAGTCCTCTTAAACTCAGACAGCTGAGGACTGGCATGTAAAGGGTGGGCCAGAGACAACAGTACGTGTAGAAACTTCTGTTCTCTGCTCCAAGTACATGAAGCATACCCTGCATGCTTCACCACCCTTCATCACCTACATTTGCTATTGGACTGCTATTAAGTTGAAATGTGAACTTAGATAAAATGAATTAACCCACTGAGTTTCTGTTAAAAAATGGAGTCCTCTTTATTGACAGAACTTGTGAGCTTAGTTAAAAACAGTTTTTAGTTACCAATCTCATGGGCTTTTTCCCCAGGAAATTTACCTAAAATAATTTTTATTCCTTTCTAACTGGAAGAATAAATGACACAGACATCTTCCTACTTTTGCCAGCCTAGGATGGCACCAGTACAACCCTACACTCTGTACACTAATTGGTTACCTGAAAAAAATACAAAAGGGCAAATTTTCAAGTTGCCACAGACAAAAGAGGCCCTTATATGTGAAAAAGGATTTGAAGAAGAGTCTCTTTTCTTACTTTAATGGTATCCTTTTTTTATACAGCCTGCATTACTATTGCTTCATTGCCTCATCCCAAATTACAGCTCTGTGCTGCAGGAGACAGTCAGATGCAGGTCTGACTCACCCCAGAGGTAAATTTGATCTAAGAGAGTCTATGTGCTCTCATTCATGCAAAAAGGAAATGGGAACCACTCTCCTTGCTCAGCAAGGTTCTTCACAGTGTGGAGCAGTTTTATGGTACCTTGTTTTTACCCCAGGGCAGGCCTTGGACAGAGAGTCAAAAAATTATCCAGATCAAGATGAGCCCATCACCCACAACCTGTTAGAGCATCAGGTCTTTGAACAGTGACAACAACGCTATTTTGAAAACCACTCAGCTTAATCTACTTACTAGCTCAGTTTTTAGGACCACGTACATACAAAAGAAGAAGGGAGTTGACAGCAAAGAACATTTTAACATTAGCATGGACAAAGTACTATAGGCATTTGGAGTCAGACAGAATACACATGAAAATATAGATAGGCTTTAACTGTACCACAGTAATCAGAAAGTTGATATGTCAAACATGTCTTACTGTAAAATTCAAACAGAATATCTCCTCCACATCTTCCCCAGGATAATCTAGAAGTTGCTGGAGACTCCTAAATAACATGTAGGAAAAGAAATGGAAAAAAAAAAAAAAAGAAAAATCAGAGATTTTAAAAGCCATACCTCTAACAGGGAAAACAAATTCAGTAGAAGTAAACAGCATCATACATCTGGGTAGCAGGATTGCAAGAGAAAGAATCTGAGTCACTTAAAGCAGTAAGAAATACACCTCAAATAAAGAGATGCTTTGTTAGAAGTAGGATAAATGTCAGTCCACAGAAACTATCAATGAAGTATATTACTACATAGTTCATGGATCATCTTTAATGATCCTGGCTTTGGAACAGAATTACATTTCTAGTTCTAAAGTTCTAATTCTATGTCATCACCACACAAAGGTCTGAGGGAGTGGAGGAAGAGACAGAGGTGGACTGTATCTGTATGCCCATCATATAGAAAATAGTCTGCTATCCCCCAAAATCCTGCTGCTGTCTTCCTAGCATTTTACCACATTATTGATAAATACAGCTGTCACTTTGTGTAGATGAATCAGATGGCAACTCAGAAACAGAAATAAGACAGCAGTCAGACAGTGGTATCTTAACTTCCCAGTGTCAGGGGGAACCAGCATCCCTATGCAATTAGGTAGCAAAGATTCAATACTTGGAAAAAGTAATTCTTTCACTCCACTCATCTTCTTCCTGCTGTGGGAGCAGGTCAGAGCTTTTCTCGCTCACGGAAGGGACCATTCACAGCCTTACAGACAGTTCCCTGCTTGTCTGAGCCTGGCTCAAGGGGAAAGGCTGAGGCTGGGATCTGGGATCATGCACACAACCACATAGGGCAGGGACAGGCTTCCACTCCTGCTCTCAAAGGGGATGTGGGAGGTCTCTTCTGGCTGTGTTGCTGTGTTGGTACCCAGTTTCTCAGGTCAGAAGGGTGGGAGCCTAAGCAGATTGATCCAATAGCTTAGGGAGAGAAGTTGTACACAAAATTCACCAGCAGCTCATATGTTTTTATAGTCACTCAAATGAATCAGTTACTCAAAAGGATCAGGAGGTGTTTTATTCATCAGCTTTTATCTAGTTTGGCACTTAAGGTTCTTAGCTGGATTGTCTACCTCCCCAGAAAAGCTGCAAATTTTGATTTTCATACCTTCCTTCCGTAGGGGACAGCTCCTTCAAATCCTCTAGGCAGGGCTTCACATTCAAGAGTTTTTTGTACAGAGCCAAGGGAAAGTGAAGGTCTACCACTGTGAAATTGTAGATTGCAAGACCACATATGATGCCAATCAAGTGAAACCAGTTGTGCTCTACAAAACACTGCAAAACCACACAGAGAAATCCTGATGAGACACAGTCACTGGTGCAAGGCACAGTACCCTTTCCTCCATGCACTAAGAAGCCAGACCCTGCTTTTCCAACTGGGACACAGTCAGAGAGCTCCCATCAGGTACCAATTTGGCTGTAAATTTCTTGCTGGTGTGTGTCACAGAAATGAAACTCCAAAACCCATGTTCTATTACTTTTGTAAGCCATGATCACAGTAGAAATACCAGCTTTCCACCTTATCTGCTTTTTAATTCCTTTTTAAATACCTCTGCATTTAGATAGTAACAGTGCTTCAATGTTTACTGTCTGTGTACTGAAGAAAATGTGTTAACAATCCCCTCCCCACTACCCATCCTATTTTCTATTAAAAGCTTTTACATCAGCACAGTTCTAGCCAGGCAGGCACACCAACAGGGCGACTAGCACAGGCCTCCCTCTCCTCACATACTGACTCTCAAGCTGGTGTGTCAGTCACAGACTGGCTGCCCACGTTTGCTAAATGTTCCTGATACATGACTCACTTCCAGTGCTTACACCCTCATCTCTCCTGGTGCCAAAAGCCTTGTTTTAAAGCACTGACATTAGGAGTGAGTGCTCTGTAACACTGTTTACAAGTTACAGAAGGTACCAGGTCACTTCCTTCCCTGTAACCCCCCCCAAGCAGGACAGCCACACCTTAAGGGAAAACCAGCTATGAAATTTCCCACCTTGCTGCCTATGGAGGTGAGGAAAAGAACATAAACCACCATCTGCAGCCATCTGACAGGTACTCTGCACTCTTCCAAAACCAACAACCTTCCACTACAAGCCATGTTCCTTGCTGCTTAAGAGCTTCTTCACATTAACAACTTTAGATCCTGAAGGCAATAGTGATGCATGGCTAAGTGGATTGGCTGCAATTATATGAACAGCAAGGGTGGCACAGAACTCTAATGCCATTACCACCAAAACCTATCATTCTGTATAACAGCACATGACCATCACATTCATGATAAATAAGAGTTCTATTACCTGTCACCTGACCCTTAATACAAATTGTATTATGGGATAAGAATAAAGAGAGAGAGCCAACTCTTTAGTAGGCACAGCCATCACCATTCTACTAAGGTTAATGAACCTATTTACACTGACTGAAAATAGAGTTCACCTTGTATCATGAGTAGAAAATGATAGGAAGAAACATTTCTTTCCCATAGTTTGCCACTAACTTCTTCGTAATTTAAATGCAGCATGTTATTCCAACCTGCACATACAGAGGGCAAGGGCTTACCGTGTCTGAAAACCACAGCAGGTTAGACTCTGAGTAATAAGTGAACATGCCATAGATAGGGTTGAGTAGTTCTTTTAACAACAGGAGGAAAAATTCCTTTGTCACTCCTCCAGCATCAACAGCTTCCTCACCATCAAAGATGACCTGTAGAAAAAGCAGGTCAGTGACAGGGATGCAGAGCTGAGACCGAGTGAATCACGTCTCTCTCTGAGAGCCATGCAAAGCAATTTGACCAATATGCCCAAACCACAGCAACCCATGAGCTGGTTTCAGTGCTCTGCCTGCAGGGGCAGAAAGGGAACAGGGGTGGCAAATCAGGTATTTTGAGAATGTTTATCCTCATACAAATCACAAATAACCACCTGTTGTCCCAACTATCAAAGCAGCAGCATGATACAGCAGCTACTGAAGGTTGTGGCAATTTCTCAGAGATAAAACACATTCTACTGTAAACAGCCTGCTCCTGCAGAAGGGCAAAACAGAGACTACGTAACATCACAAAATGCTTCCTTCTTGGCCCTTGTACACTCAACACATCAGGAGAAGAGAACAAACCCTGTGCTTGCCTTCTTGTAAACTATCCACTGCCAGGGGTCAGAAAAAAGACTGAATCCTTGCATTGACTAGATCAAATGTTCCTGTGTGCAACAGCTATTTAGAAGTTACTGCACACTGGTGAAGAGGTAATGTTAATGGCTGAAAGGTTGCAGAAACGTTTGCTAAACGAGAAGGTGCTAAAGATATGGGGGAAACTTACTTTGAGAGGTTTTTTCAAATCAATGTCCGAATGGATGCTCAACTCCCTTAAAGCATCACCAACTAAGTTACTCCTGCGAACATGAAGTACCAAGAAAGGGCTTCTGGCCAGCAGAGGCTCCAGGGTGAGAAGCATGAAGATATTCTGCAAATTTGCACCATTTATTGCAACCTGTAAATAAAAGAGGAGTGAAAAGCAGCCTATGCCTAGGCCTTTTTTTCTTCCTATGAAAGGAAAACAGTTAACAACCTACATGCCTGGTGTTCCTTTCTGCCTTTTTGGTTTCTTCAGGGTTCAAGACTGCCATGCTCCCTCTACACTGTGTGTGTGCCTGTATACCCTGCTTACACAGGCCCCAGTGCCCAATGCTGTGCCTGTCTCAGGAAGGACCTGTGCAAGCAGTGCCTGGTGCTGGGACATTTCCACTGGCACAGAGGCCAGCTGCCCTTGTCACAGCCGGGCTGTGAGCTGGCTTGGCTGCCAACTGCAGAGTGCTGGAGCTGGACAGCTGTTGTCAGCACACACCTGGAGGACCCTGGGGCTGTGCCTCTCACTGCACCTGGGTAGGTGGGCTGCTGCAAACAGCCGCTGCCTGCAGCCACAAACAGCATCAGCAGTGGTCTACAACACTCACCTCATTATTAGAAGGAAATCTGCAGAAATTTCGAAACAAGTGTCCACTTCCCTGAACCTTTGTTTAATTATCCAGTCTTACAGCTCCTCACCTTACTCCTTATCCTTGGATTATCAAAATTACATAACTACTCCTTCCCTGTACAGTTTAAATTTCCAACACATGCACATCTGGCAGTCCTGATGTTGCCAGACAAACATTTTGAAGGGAAAGACACCAAGCACTACCTCTGCAGTATCCAAGGCAAAGAGGTTCTCCAGCTACACTGCTCTCCTGTATCATGGAAACAATAAATTGTTGTGCATACCAGCTCCTAGTTAACACCCTTTCCATGCAGGCACCATTGCAAAAGGCAGAAAGAAAGAAATATGTCAGAAATATTGGGAGAGAGAATGATTACCTGCATCTGTAATTCTGCATCTGTCTGTAACATCTTGGTCTTAGCTTGAGCATCAAAGATGAAAGGGTAAGAGCAGAGAGTCACAGCATCCTGCAAGAAAGATAAGCATGATTTGTTCCTATCCACAGCTTCCAAAGCACTTTTTAAAACAAGAATCTTGAGAAACAATTTTCTTACCTGCATGATGGATGGTCTTACTTTCTGTGAAAGAAAAAGAAAAGTATGAAAATCTTTTACTCTTTCAATTTTGTGTCTTGTGGGTTTTTTTTGATGGACTAATCCAAAAGTAGACCAAAGTAAATTTTCCGCCTTTGGGACCAACAACCCATTATTTTTCCTATTAAAGAAATGAATGGAAACTTCCTTCTCAAGAAAATGCACAAGTCTAATTCAAAACATGAACATCCAACATTACTGAGAGGCCTGACTGGCATAGAATCCTGTGTTGGTCTGCCATGGGTGAAACTTGCTCTTATGAAGACTAACAAATGCAGAAACCATATGAAACAGGAGAGACTATAAGACCACTACATGGTGATACAAGAACACACCTGCAATGCAAATTACTTGTCATTAGCCATATTGATACATTTTTAACTATCCCTTACATAAATTTAAGTCAGTACTGTATTGTTCTGCTCACTAAACGTAAGCACAGCAGCACTATTTAAATGATGGGAAGTAGCGGATGGGGGCATAGCACACATAACACTTACTTACAAAGCCCATGAAAACACACAGGAAAGTTATCACTACAGTCAGGTTTTACTCTTGCAGCATCCCTTGGCAGAGGGTTTTTGATGGCTTTTTTTACACTTGAAATTCCTTTATTTGCTATGACTAAATAACCTCACTGTGTTCCTACACAGCATATTCCAGCCCTCAGTTTAGTTATCTCCTTTCTTACAGATGGGAAAGTGAGACATAAAAGAGGTGAAGGGTCTTACCCAAGATCACCCAGCAGGTTACTGGAAGAGCCAGGAATAGAACCCACATCTCTTGAGGCTTGGATCAGTCCCCTAGCCAGAACGCCACATTGCCTCCTCTTACAGAGCAACATTTTAACATCACTGGCTACATTATTCACAATACCTGCCTAAACAGCAGAAGTAAAGGGCAAAAATTATAATTTTAGAATACAGGATTTGGCTCCTGAGGTCTTGATTACATTAAAAGGATCCAGTGACTGAATTAATCACCTCGTGCAAAGATTAAATGGAATTCACAGGAACAATCACACAGACTGTTGCAAGCTTTGGTTAAATATTGCTACCTCCAGCTCTTTTGACAGCCTTTTTATTTTTAAGTCAATTTTGTAAAGCACTCAGATCTGAAATATTAAACATATAGAAGCTCCTATACTGAATGCATTATGCTCTGATTAAGGATATTGGAAATACAGATCTAGAGCCAGAGACACAAACATGGACAGCTATTTCATGACTATGCATAAAACCTCTTACCATTCCAGCCTGGTGCAAAAACCACATGAGATAATCCTCCTGAATGTCCACCAAGCTGGAAATCTCAGGGATATAAAACTTATCATATTCCACATGTTTAACCTTCTGATTCACCTAGTGAACAGAACAGATGGAAACATTCAACATATTTTAACATATTTTCAGCATTTTTAAGGTTTGCTTCCATAAATTCAGTTATAGCAGCTTGCAACAAACGGACCCAGAATGTTCAGCAAACAATACACAATCTCTTATATTTTGGTACAAACCAAGAAGAATCAAATAGAACCTCTATAACTCATTTTAACAAGTGGTTAAGTTCCTCTCCTCCTTACCCTGACCACCCAGCAACAACCCAGTGAGAGCAGAGACCGTCAAGGGATAGGTGTTTGTGATGCCATTCTTTAGGGTAACTTTATTTCTAGTCTTTGAGTCAGGACTAAACAATCTTCAAGAACCTTGGACTTCGGAAAGCATCTTTCCCACATTGTGACTTGATGGACAGCTCACAACTGGCCGAGGGCGGACAGGACTGAATCACCTTGAGCCAACACATGCCCAGGCTTTCCTCTCACCTTGTGGAGTTTCTCCAGAAGCCTCAGAGCAGCTGTAATGTAGCTGCTGAACAGGACTGGGATCAGCAGCGTCTTCCTTCCACTGAGGAGGTAAACCACTGCACCTTTATAGAGGTCCACAAGCCTGAGGAAGTATCTTGGGCACACCTGAGACCACCAGTTATCTGGAAAGCAGAGGACATCAATATAAACCTCAATAAAAGGCCAGAGTATCCCCTAAACAAGGTGTTACAACTGAAAGAAAGGGGAATATACCTGAAGACTCTTTCAAAAAACTTTCCCATTCCTGCCCTAGCTGTAACAACAGGAAAGTGAGGCAGAGTCAACCAAATACCAGAACCAGAAAAGCTGCTCCCTTTCCACTACAGCCACACCAGTCATTACCCAGCCCAAACCCTGATCAGGGTGAGAATCTGAATTTGAAGTTTTTCAGTCTTTAATCCAAGACACTGTTTCATGTATCTGGCATTCAGCATACTGTGATGTTGTGGGCAACTATCTGTCTCGCAGGAGTGACAAGCAAAGAGCTGCCTGGGCAATTCTCTGTAGCACCAGATACTTTTCTAGCAGGGGTCAGACTGTGTCTCCTGGCACATCTGCACTAAAGGATTAACTCCCCCTCTTTAGAGAGGCTGATTTCTTTCTTGCCAAGGACAGGTAACCCTTACTTTCCCCTGAAAGGAGCTTGACTATTAGCTTCTATCTTAGAACCAATCACCTGCAAAGTAGAAGCTGGAGCCTAGAATTCTTTTGGAGGTCTGAATGCACCACATGACATTTTACATTATATCAGTTTAGTACAAGACAGCCTTAAGAAACAGAGTAAGATCACAAGAACAGTAGTAGTTTAACAAATGTGAGTAACAATCATTAAGCAGCACATGTTCTGTCCAGTTTAAAATAAGCTCAGAGGAAAATATATTAGAAATTAAAAGACTCAGAAGTGGGAGAAGAGTTTAAGTGTTCAACGTAGTCACAGACCAAGGTCTGTCTGTATCTTGTAGAAGACAAAATAATTTAATATTATACTTAGTATTCTTTTATTACCTTATACAGAAAAGATACTCTGAAGTGATCAATAGCTGACCAAATTTAAGAGAATTGGATAATTTAATCTTCATGATATACAAAAATCTATGTTTCTGTAGAGGAATGAAAATTTATCTGGAACTGAGTCTCTGAATGTGGGTAAAGTAGATAGGGTTAATTAGATTAACCTCCCTAGTAAGTGCTCTTTGAAATGGTATTTTACTTATAAATTAAAAGAATTTTTAAATGAGACTTACCAAGCACTTTGCTGGGGTTGGTATCCAGGCGCAAAATAGCCATTGCTAGAGGAAGTGTCAGAGAGATGTAATACTTGGAGTCTTGGAATGGTGGGAATTCTGGGAGAATCAGATAGATCCTCATTGCCTCAACATCTGGTGGAGAGCTGGACAGCTGAGGAATCAAAAAGCTTTCAAAGCTTTTCAGTATCTAGAGAGAAAGCAAAACAAAAAAGATTACTTATCCTGGGTGATAGAGTACCTACAGTGCAGACAATGTTTAAGAGCTGATGAAATGGCAAAACCCTGTTTAAGAAGTCAAACCTGGGTGAAAAAACCCAAAGCTATAAATATTATAGCTAAAAGTGGCAAGGGGAACATGTATGCTTTTATCCCACAGCTCTGCACTTATGAAAGAAATTCTGAGTTAGAATAAGTTATACAATCATGAAGTACTCAACTCCTGACAGACACACAATAATTACAAATATAACACACACTGAGTTTATTTCATCAGATATTGAAGTATTAAATGCCATGAGATTAAACTAGTTTTTAAATAAAAGTCTTGGAGACACATTTTGACGAGGTCAAAGTCAGCCCAGGTCAAAGGAGAAGTACCATTAAGTGTCTGGATTTCAGCTCTGCAATACAACCTTTGCTCAACAATGCTGCTGGTACTTGCATGTTGGAGAGGGACAAAGCCTTAATTTTCCCCTCTGAATATCCAAATCTCAGAAGTGCAATACCTGCTCTAGCAGAATGGAGTGCTGGGAGTTCATCAGCTTCTCAAACAGCACTCTCGTGGAGTTCAGATCAATCCCTGGGATCTTTGAACTGGTTTTAAAATGTTCATCGATTCTTTAAAAAAGAAATCACAGACAGGCATAAGCTTAAGGAAGAGACCCCATTACATGGCCTGGGAGCCAGCAATAGAGAAATGACCACTAGAGAATTCCTAAGTCTAGAAACAAAGACTCTTCCTTCCAAATTCCTCCGGGCCTCGGTTAGGACTGAGATTCTTGCAGAGAAACACTTCAAAGTTTTTGGTGTCCCCAGGACTCCTTCACTGACCTAAGAACACTGTATTAGACACCCTGAAGGAGAAGGTAGCTATTAAAGACAAGATGCATTTGTCAGTTTGATGGTGTGACTGTCAGAACATGAGGAGCTAAACACGGGCTGCTGTACTAGAATGGCTATTCCCAAAACATCACAGGCTCCAGGCTGGAAACAGATCCCCAGGGACACACTGTGGTACACAGCACTCTTGGGGCTGTGCTCTGCAAAGGTAGTGCTGGCTGTGCTCAGGCACACGGCCATGGAAAAGCTGCTTCCCCACTAATCCTGTAAGGAAAACAGGCCTACATGGCCTTAGGGCACGGGAGGGATGCACTAGGGTATTTCCGTCAAGTGCACCTTGACATAAGACTTTATGTATAAAGGTATAGTTAAATACAGCCTCATTTAAGCCTGCAGAATTAAACATTCATTTGATCAAAGATTTTCTTTAGAAGTTAAGTCCTGCACTAGCCACCACTGAAGGGGAAGAACAACTGCATCTGGCTCCACTCATTTCCACATTCAAAAGAATATGTGAGACTATTTAAAGTGACTCAACAACTTGCATATCTCAACAAGGGCTTTAAACCAACATGACACAACCCTCCTGATGCAATAACATGTCACAACACTAGGGAAGAAACCACTGGACAAGCAGAAAAACACCAGAATAATTAGAAAACTGTGTTCAAGCTGCTCTTGGAATGTAATACGTAAAAAATACTCAGAGTAAGTAAGTTTTTCTTCACCTAGTTACAGGCCATTTACTCATCACATCACCAGAAAAATTTCTCCTCCTCTTCATCTTATGCTGTTACCTCCTCAACATTTACAGACACAGCCAACACAGGCCTTCCCAACCCACAGCCTTTGACTCCGCTATGTCTTACAACCTTGTCACCACCTATTGTGGGTTACACCTGTTTGAAATTCCTCCTTTTGCAAGCAGGAGCACAAAACTTTCCACATATCATGTCACCTAAAAGGAAAGCACTTCCTTGCTGCCCTTGATGTATTTTCAAGAGCAGCCTGTGTGAAAGTATACTTTCACATGCACCAGCTAGCTCAGCTGGATAAGAGACTATTCAGATACCTGGCATCCCTAATTTCCCTTAATGTCCTATTCCGATCCCTTTCTTTAAAGACATTGATATCTGTTTCATAAGGAAGAATAAGTTGTGGCAACTCCAAGAAATCTGTGCCATTTACAGCACACTCACCACGCACTCTCTTAGACCACTTGCCTTCCTTAGCCTGTTCTGACCACCCCAACCTTTTAGGGAACATCCTCTGTCCTCATCTCCTGCCTGATCAAAAAATCAAATCCCACTGCAGAAGTTCATGAATCAAAGGGATTCCCATCTGCACGAAGAGAAAGCCATACATCTGGAAATGTGGCACTTACTTCTTCTCCAAGAAGCTTCCATTCCAGCAGGCAGCTGAGGACAGTATCTGAACAACATTACTGATTGCAGCAGGAAGAGAAAAGAGAACAGAGATACAGGTTATTAATGGATGTCTCAGTAAATCTCTCCATCTCTCTTCCCTTCCTTTTATGGGAAACAATGTCAGGATAACCCCTTTAGAGGCACAGAGGGCAAGACTTCATTCAGGATCATGTAAGGTCCCTCTCTGAAAGGAGGAATTAGTGCCTCCCTTCCACCTAATTCTGCCCTTCTCATGGCAGACACACTGGGGAAAGAACTTAATCAGTCTGTTCACAAGTTCTTGTTGCTTCTCATTAATTTTAAGCACACAAGGCAGGACAACTTTAAAATCAAGTTCCCACCCACCATCTGCAATGTTGAGGCAGCCTCAGATTCCTCTGGTTTGCTCAGAAGTTCTCACCTGGCAGCCTTGTGACTGGCAATTCCTCCCCTTGGAAATGACTAAGAACCACACTTGAAAAGGTTGCTAAATTTCAAGTGAAAGCATGGCACGGAAGCCAACAAAATTATTTAAATAGAACTTTCAAAAAAAGGCTTGTCCAGTGCCACAATACCTACTTGACAGAATTAGAACTGTTCTTTTCTAAAAGCTTTTGCCTCCAGACATCTATAGTTTCATCATTTATTAAACAGGTGTAACGTGTTTCATTTATGGTCCGGAAATCATCAGCAGGCAAGGAATTCTGTGAGAAGATACAGATTTCAGCAAAGACAAGGCTTGTAAAACAACTCCTTCCTATCCATAATATCTTTTTTAATAAATAACTGATAGCTTCCTTAGTGTGGCCTCTGAAAAGGTTTGGTTAGAAGTTTTGTGGCATTATTAAGAAGTCCAAAAGAGAAGGTATGAAAAAGTTTGAGGGGAAAAAAAGATCCTCAAATACATTTTAAAAAGAGGAAAATGAAAGAATCAAAATATCATATCCTAGATGTACCAAAGCCCTTGTAAATACTGTCATATGTAACTACAGGCTTAGTACAGTTATTTTAGACCTATTTCCATGCCTCAAAAGTTTATCCCAAACAGTTCTTGAATGAAAAAAGAAGACAGAAGTGGGAAAACCAATTCAGCATTCAGCCCTCCATCCAGCACTGATTGGCAAAATCAGCATGTGGCTGATGGCTCTACACAGCAACCATGCAGAAAAGCCAGTGCCACAGGTGGAAAGCAGCCCCCCACTTCCAGTCTGCAAAGATGGGATTCCCCTCCCTGTTGATTAAACTGGAATCAGTGTCTTCCCAATGGCTTTGATGAGCCTCTAAAGAAAGACAACTTTCAGTCACTGAAGTTGGAAATCCCTGTAACAACTGTCACAGCTGGTAAGGTTTGTAAGGCCAAATGGAGACCAAAGCAATAGTTCCATTTCAGAAGATTTTAGCAAAAACAAAAGCTGTATTGTGAATGCTGGGACAGGGGAGAAGACTTGAAAAGATACTTCAATTTGTACCTCATATTTGGAGCAAATCACAAAAGTTTGGTCTCCTCCAGAGAAGATATGTTTAACAATGTGGTATTTACAGGCATCTGTTTAAGAAAGACACAGTTGTATTAGAGGCTGATGAATGCAAAGCCCTACTTATACTTTCTTCCCTCCCATTTGCACTGCCAGTACAACTACAAGGAGCACCTGGGTCCTTTGAAGGCCCTGCTGAAATCAGATGGAACTCAAGCACTGTAGAACTTTCATAAGAGGTATGCAGGAAGGGAAAGCTGTCATTTTTAAACTGCAATAGGGGTTTTAAAGAGAGAACAAAGTGTTCAGAACAGTATTAGTAAAGTATCAGTACAATTTCATGAAGTCTCAAGATTGCCAGATGCTGAGCTCTGCCATAAGAAGAGAAAGGGAGATAGCACACATTAACAGAGAGAGCAGAAGGTCACCCAGAAATTACCACCGTGCATTTGGGACAATAAGATGGGTTTCTTTTGGTATTTCCACAAATTTCACAGAACAATGTTAAGATGCCATGGGTGAAATTATTTATGTCCATCTGCCATTCCAAACTGAGCACAGTACATACCAGGTTTCCCTGAGAGTTGCCCATTATGAGCTGCCCAGTGACCCTTGACAGGAGAGGGACACTTCACATTGCAAGTGTGCCCTGTTCCCAGCTGGCCTCTTGTTCCACAGCCAAATGCATAGATCATTCCTGAAGAAGGCACAAAGGCTAAAGTGTGATGTCTGTAAGAGATGGGTACAGAGTTTGGGCCTTGTTTAACAATAAATTTAAAAAAAAAAAAAACACAAAAAAAACAAAGACCCAAAACCAAACAAAAAAGCCCACCAAAACCAAACCAAATGCAGCCTAGAACTTACTCTCATTTCTCCTAGGCCAGAAGCTGGTGCCAAGCAGCACCTTTACATGGGCACCAATGCTCAGTTTTTGCCACCTGATGGCACCCATTTATGGGATGGAGCCCTTTAGGTGGAAGGCACAAAGAGCAGCTTGTGCAGACCCACAGCTGGTATCAGGCTCACAGGATCAGGTTAGTCATTTGCTAAGCCTGTACATTCTGAAAGACAACCACACAGCACCAGTGTTGCTAAATCACTTTCCATTAAAGAGGCTGGAAACTTGTGACCGAAGGGGCTTCTGCTCTAAAGTCTTGCTGAATTATTACGTTGGGAAGGTATCTTTTACAGGTTAGAGTGCAGGGTACAACTCCAATTAAAAAACCATCTCGTTTAGAGTGTCTTAAAATTCTTATGGCAAGTAAGATTTAAATTAATTTAGCTTTGATACATAGAATGAAGAAGCAGGACTATTTCCCCCTATTTACATGATTCAGTATCAGCGTTAAACTCCACCAAAGAAAAGTTTCTGACTGCACACAGGACTCACCTGCCACATGCAATCTGGGATACTTCACTGCCCATGAGCTCAAGAACTCTTCGGGGGTTCACCTCATCATTCATGGAGTCGTGGCCCAGCTGCCCGCAGGAACCTGCACCGAAGGTGAACACCCCTCCACTCTGTTAGCAAACCAAACAGCAGAGCCTCCATTTAGGGACCCATAACCCAGCAGGATCTCTCTGACTACAGTTTCAGTATGTGCCCAAAGCTTAGGTAGAGACTGATGGGAATTTTCAAAAGATTCAGAAAAGAAACTTGGGTTCTGCTAACACAGCTTTCAAATAAGCTACCATACCACCCATCAGAAACTAACAGAATTACCTTCAGGTTATCTCTACACTACACAAGCTCCTACAGAACTAGTTTTCTACAATGGTATCTTTCCCCACAGGCATCCCAAATTCAGTTAGTTCATTTATAGTGGAGAACACTGAAGCTCCAAAACAGGAAGCAACAAGTACAAAGTGGCAGAGCCAAGGCAAGAACTGAGCTGCTCTCTTTCAAAACCTAGGCCTGTCCTCTGGCCACTAAATTATACAGCACTAGAAAGCAGCAGGTTTGGAACTGAAAACCTCTTGTAAATGTTGTGACTGCTAATGTTAAATTTAAACACTCATTCATTTTAGCTTCCATCTTACTCTGATGCACAGTATTACTCTATTTTCCAACAAAATGCTATTTTTACCCTTTTGGATGTACATTTGTTAAATTTTTTCCCTCCCAAAGCTATTCTTTTAAAGTGATTCAACTCAGTTTTGCTATTCATTGCTGTGGATTATTAACATCTTCATCCGCAAAACCAGCAAAGGATTGTGTTGGCAGTGAAACTCAGAATAAATAATGAGGCTACACTTTCCACTTAGTTTCTTTTACTGGGGTCAGAAGGAATACATTAAGTTGATCTGTATTTTTCTACCGTTACACACAAAACTACTGTGAAACCATCAGGCAGGTGAGAGAGTGGCCAGGTTCCCAGGTCAGCATCTTTACCTTTGTCAGGACTGCTGTGTGCTCCTCTCCACAGCTGATGTACACAACCTTCTGAGAGCGCAACAGCTTCACGTGACACGGGGACTCCCGGTCTGCAATGGAGGCAAAGGAAATAAAGCATCTCTTTTATATATATAAACCTGCATGTCCAAGAAAAGAGCACTGCCAGTCTGATTTTCAGACGTGGTCCATGAGCACAAGGGAAACTTTAACAACTGTGGTGAAAAAGGCTCCACACAGCCTTGAGTACTTCACTGCCGATTTTCCCCTCAAATTCTTAAAAGGCTTGACTGATTCAAACAAAGTTGTCCAGAGCAAGAATGCACACATTGATTACCTTGTATAAATTCAACATGCACTTGCTGTTTGGGAGATACAGTGAGTGCAACCTAGATACACCCACCTTCAGCTTCATGCTCCATTTCAGACACGTCACGGATAACTGCAAATATTTGTTTCCAAAACCTTACTTAGACCTTTTCCATACAGAACAACCCTGCCACATGGGAGACACTTGTGCAAGACACATGGTAAGCTGATTCCCAATGTGTATTTAAAACTCAGCTTTCCTTCTCATGTCATCCTTTAATCAGAAGATCCTCCTACTTGCAAAGGCTAATCACTACCAACCATTAAGTGATGCTTTTCTCCTTCACTCTGCCACCCCTAATCATTTAAAGTTTGTCTCCCAGGGACGAATACAGTAAAAATAAAAGCTAAGCACTTCAAGGAGCAGTAGGCACCCCAAAACAATTAGATATTAAGGGGGACAACTGCTTATTCTATACCAACAAAAAGTCAGGTTTCTACCTATAGAAGTTGCCCATTTCTTAAGACTGTCATCTAAGGATTTGTAAGGTGCTTTTTTACTGGTTAGTGAGAGAAAAATAGTCACACTTCTGTGAGTTTAGAACTGAGAGCATATTTTTGATTTACTTTTTTCTGTATTCTAGCACTCTGATCTTTCTTTTCAGAGGAATTACACTTCTCTCTACAGCATAATTGTTAACAATAACCATGCTGCAGAACACTTGTGTTTACAGACCTTGCTGTTCATGTTTGACAAGTATAATTCACACTGTCTTATCATGATTCACTTACCATAAATACCACATATTTACTACAATGCCAGGCACTGAGGGGGAAGCAGAATATGATCCCTGGCCAGCACCACCCCACAAGCTGATGCCTATTCTGTTCATTTACAATTAGCCCCATGTCAGTGCAAGCCTCTCATATGTAAACTGCAGCTTTGTTTTTATTAGAAGCATTTATCTGCCAATGTACATGGAAAGGACACTGCTGCTCTTTTATTAGATCAGCCCTGCTTTACACACAGTACAAGGTATCTAGGTGCATGCTAGGTACCACATCTACTCTCAGAAACTTGTCTAGATACTTAAATCTGCTCAGGAATTATGCAGAAACCAGTAAGGAGATTGATTTGAAGCTCCAAAGAAAATCTTCTGTTCACCTGTTTTGTTCCAGAAAGTTAAGAGTCTGTAAAGAACAAGCAGATGAGATCTGGGCTTTACAAACTAGCACCTGAGAAAACTGCCATTGGCCCTATGTGCCTGGTAAACTGTGCAGTAAATAAACTAGAAAACATTTTACAGTACTGAGATATTCAGTGTTGCCATCACTTTGTAGCACATAGATGCTCACCACTCAAATCATGCTGGGAAATAAGAAGATGGGTTCAGCCTGCTGCTCTGCAGGGAAAGCCTTTGCTCCAACCAACTTCAAACAAAATACAGGCAAAGTATTTTTGAGAACAGGGAGGAAGAATATGAGCACTTCCTTTGATATTTGCATGTTGACACTCCCACTTGAAAGACCTCTCTTTTTAACCGTCTTCACTTAAATTAACACCCACAAGGGGAAAAAACATGTTTCTGTTTCTCTCAGTATGAAAAGCCTGTAGAGACAGAGATTTTCTCTGCCATCTCATCCCAGGAGAAGCTGCTGAGACAGACCCACTCAGTAAAAATACACTGCCAATGCAACAAGAGACACTAGGCAAAGGAGCCTGTCCTTCTTTCACCTAGGAGCATAATTTTCATACCTCGTTCATCACTTAGTCCCAGCTGTCCTGAGCTGTTTTTCCCCCAGCCAAACACAGCTCCTGAGAGAGAAAGGGCAAAACTGTGGGCTCCACCTGCAGCAACCTGAGCCAAAGGGATACCATCTAGAGACCTGACACGCTGTGGACTGGCCTGGGAGGGGCATTCTTTGCCCAAGCCCAGCTGACCATAGCTGTTCTGCCCCCATGTGAAGAACTGGCCATCTGAAACAAGAAAGAATGGTGGATGAAAGTTAGCCAACAGAAAAGCAAGTTTGCCAAAAATAAAAAGAAACCGTCCTGGAAGCTTTACTCCCACCCAAGCCTCATGATGAAAATTAAAAAAGCAAAATCAAGAGAGACATTCTTTGCTTAAAAAAAAAAAATAGCATGGCCTGAAGCCACCAGGCAACTGAACACACAAGCAACTAAGTGCAAAATACAAAATAAAACTGCTGTAACAAACAGTGCAAGAAAAAAAAGTCCACACTTCACATAAAGGAGTAACAGCCAAGGAAAATTTCAACACAAATAAATTAATTACACACATTTTTCTAAATCAAGATGGAAAGCTTTCAAGCATTCGTGCCATCATTCACCAGTGAGACAGTGGGTGGTCTGTGTGTAATGGTTTCTTTCTCCACAGTTTTGGCAAAGATCTTCCTCAATATTTACGGTACCTGATCCATTTTACAGCATCCCATTTGGCCCAAAGGAGTCAGAACATGGGATGTCCTTGATTAATTATGCAGAAATATGCAGTCTTTGATACTGTGCAAAATAACAGCACAAATTGTGGTAATTAATAACAGATGTTACAGTACCTGCTGCCAGAGCCAGGCAATGCCAATTTCCACAAGAAACCTGCAGTATTGTCTGTTGGTTCAATTTCTTTATCAACCTAAAGGTGATGACATGATTTTAGAGTAAGTGTCCACAAATACAGTATCACCTTAGATAAAAATTACCATTTCCACTAAGATATTTGTTGTATATACATACAAAATCCATGGTTTTGAGACTGAGGAACAGTGTCTTGAAGGCAATACAGATCCATATGTAATAGATGCAAATCTGTGGAGACCTCTAGACACTTGACTAGTAACTCAACTACATTTCCTGCTATAACACTGAATCCAACCATCTGGAAATGGTGAAAATAGCTGGTTCTTGGTGTCTCTTTCACTATTCTTTTTCAGGCATTGACATTTTTCATGCTGTTATGGGCCTAGCATATCCAGTGAGTTACAGCACCAAACCCTCTTCAGTGCTTTGTACAGAAAATAGCATGTCAAAGGTTCAAGTTATTCCACAAAAATGTTATTTTTAAAATGGCACTATCACATTGCTATGCGAGCCTCTGTCTTATGCAACCACATGCAAGTTAAGGACTGTCTTCCCACAGAGCCCTTCAGGTCAAACATTAATCTTTTGTCAATTAAAACTCTTCCTTTAGACACCATTTTGACAATGACAGCCATCTTAAGAGACACATCTCAAACTGCTGCTCTGCACTGGATCTGCAGCGGCAGACCAAATGAGAGTCTGCATCTGCTGTCAACACCTTGAAGTACAAATAGCAATTCTTTTTTTAAATACTCTTCCATGCACCTCCTTCTTCTGTGAAAAACATTGTGGCATTTTTCATGCAGGAAGCTAAGCATGCTCTGATTTTCTTTTCCATCCCTCAGCAATCCATGGGCAGAAGTACTGTTCTGCCCAAACCTCTAGAGGACTTGCAGGGCTCAGGGAGCAGCAGTGAAAAGGAGAAGGAATCACCTTCATCCCAACATGAGAAGGACCCTATTCCTGCCACACTGAGAGAAAGTGAGCAAACCTTGATGCCCCACCTCCAAGGAGCTTCCCAGAGGAAAGCTGACCCTGGTAAACGCTTACCTCGGAACTGTCACTGAATCCTCTATGGTGGTGAGCCCCAGCTGGCCATCGCTGCCGGCACCCCAGGAGAAGAGCTGGCCCTGGTCGCTGAGGGCCACGCTGTGCGACTCCCCACAGGCCACGTGCACAATGTGCTGCCCGGCCAGCGCCCCGATTTGCTCTGGGGAAACAGAGGGACAATGTCTCTGGTCACAGCACCCACCTCACAGCGACATGCAGGCGCTGGGGCTGCCAAATCCGCATGCAAAGCCATGCAGGGGAGTGCCCTGGTCCCTGATTTAGTTTTAAAACATGTCCTACAGGAGAAAAAGCACCAGGTTTACTGAAAACATGTCACTGCTGAAAGCCTGGTTTGAAAAGCACAGAAGGCAGGCAGGTATGTGTGCCTCAAGGACAATGGCAGCCAGCCTCAGAGACCCAGGAAAATCTATCTATTCAGGAACAGATATCCCAGATTTGAGGCTTCCCCACTCAGTTTTGATTCAGGGATCATCCAACACTGAGAAGACAGCAGACCCTGTAAAACATATTCTATCTATTATATATATTCTGTCTATTATATAGATACATAATATACATAAAAAATATACAATATATATAATATATATTATAATACATATTATAATATATATAATATACATTCTATATATTATATATATTATATTCTATATATTATATCTATTTTATATATATATTCTATCTATTCAGTAACAGATAAAATCTATCTATCTATCTATTCAGGAACAGATATCCCAAATTCGAAGTTTCTCCACTCAGTTTTGATCTAGGGTCATCCAATACTGAGAAGACAGCAGACCCTGTAAAACAAATTTGACCTTCTACAGCTCTCATATCCAATAAAGATGAGTCATCCACAAAGCTGGATGTCATCCACAACCCATCCACTACACCTTGATTTATTGCTTGAAGCGTATATGTTACAACACCCTCCAAGCTAATCTTGGAACAATTTTGAACCTATCAACCTACTCCTATCACTGTTAAACACTCAAAAAAAATAACATATAAAGGAAGCAAAATGAGATACAGGATTAAAAATTTTAAATAAATCATCACCAAAGTCCTCTGGAAGACAACCCACAATTGACTTTCCATCATTACATCATGTTAGGCAACTGAAGCAGGTTTGACAACGACTCTAAAAACAGCTATAACCAAATCTTATCCATTACACAATTTTTATAAATGGGCGTGAAAAAAAGTTTTGTTTTTCAATAAAACACTAGAAATACCACACAACTGATGGTAAAGCTCCCTTCATGCCAGACAGAAGCAAAGTTGCTTTTCTTTTTTTTTTTCCCCTCAACAAATGCAAGTGTACCAGGTGTATGAAGAAAGATTCCATCTCGTAAGCTACAAGGCAGTGATCAGTATTACGGAAATCCCACGTGCCTGGGACATGAGAGGCAAGGGTCATTACACATCATTCTGTGAAAATGATGCCCCACATCACAGGCATCCAGAAACCAATAACACACTTAGCACCAAAACCTGCTTACCAATTAATCTACATGACTTAAATGAGCATAGAAAAAGGTACCCCTAGGAGGGCTTGCCTCTGTGTCTGGGAATGAGAAAATGAGGAGAAAAATCCCTAATGGGTATTTTTGAAGAAAAATGTGACTACTATTTCAATACATATTCTAGCTGAGAAAAATGTCACCTGAACATGTGCTTCATTTCATTCAAAATACTTAATGGCAACAGAGGTGCAGTTTACAAGTAACATGCACATAAACATTTTAGGAGGGTTTGAGACCTGCCACCCAGTAACACCCTGCAGCTCTTTCCAGCAGCACTAATTTCACCCAGTCCCACTGCCAGTGCAGAGACACAGCCAGGTTTGAGGGTGGTAACTCAGTTTAGACACACAGCTTCCCACTTGGGCCCACAAGCACCCAACTATAGCACTGTTTTGGCAGTCTGGTTCATGTTCGTTTACATATATATATACAAATGAGGGAACCTATTTTTATCTGAGAGCTCTAAACGACCAGCAGCTGTAAGGGCTGCTCAAGGTCAATGACAGACAGCAGACAAGGTGTCCCAGCAGCACATGTGAGTCTGGCCTCTTCCTCTCAGACACCCAGCAAGACAAACATTACCTGCTGCACTGTGCCTAACACACCACCTGTGAAAAACACCAATCACTTGGGTTTTAAAATTTTAAAAGTTTAATAATTATAATAAAATTATAATAAAAATAGTAATAAAATTAGAGTAATAAAGTTTAGAGTTAGGACAACTACAAGACAATAAAAAGCAAAGAATTACAGAAGTCCAGATGCCCTCGGGCACTTAAGCCACGACAAACATGCCTTGTGAACAAAGGAATAACCTTAAAAGCAATAGCCTGTTGCATATTCATATATCTCATACATGATGCATAAATTCCTTGCAAATTAAGAGTTTTTCTGGGTTTTGTCAACTTCTCCTTAATCCTGGTGGTTCTATAAAGATGGAGAGAAGGTAGAAGAATGTTTGTCTTTTCTGATAAGGAAGGAGGTAGTAACTCTTTATGGGTCCCAAGTCACTGTCATCTCTGTGTGAAAAGTCTCTTGATTATCTCATCTCTTGCTTGAACCAGTTAAAAAATCCTACATCACAGAGTTTCTATTTTAACATTACCTTGTAACCTAAAACTGTATTTAACACACTACTTAAGAGAGCTGATACAGCATAACTTTCTAACATTACACATATAATATTCATTGTAATATTTGCAAAAAGCCAATCATAAAGTATGCATTTTTCACACCACCTAAGCTCAGACAAGTGTGTTTCTGTAACATGAAGGTCCACAACTGAAGCTGCTCCTGGAGAGGATCACATCACCAAAAGGAGAGCAGGATGAAGCCATCCCCTTCTCCAAGGTAAACCCTTTGATTAATGAACCCATCACTTCAGCACTTCCCCCTTGCTAGAAGGGTGCACTGACACTTGTCTGTTAGACAGAGCACCTGAACTCCTGAAAGTGGTCCCAAAGTCACCAGCCAGCCCTGCTTCCACAGCTGCTCCCTGCACACTGCCAAACACTCCAGGGGACATCATGAGTCTGACAAAACAGAAAATACGGACAATGTGGGATGCTGGGGCACCCACAGCACTGTTTTGCTGCCTGCATGCAAGTAAAATACTTCCCTGGGAAAGCATCATTTGCCCCAGTGAGTCTTATTTCCTGCAGGAGCCGATCCTGAATCACTGAAGCACCTTGGGGAGGTGACAGAAGACTCCAGTGACCAAAGATTAGCATCAGGAGCTGGAGGAGGCAGGATTCTAACTACAGCAGTACAGCAAATAGAGTACCCTGAGGTATGTGGCTGTGGTAAGGACTTCACACACTGGGACACTGAGAGGACACCCAGCAGATCTAGAAATCTGAGGTTGTTTCAGTCCCCTCTGGCTCCATCTGAAGTTTAATTTGGCAACACAAATGCAACCTTGCTCTGTGTGCCATTCCAAGAGACAAATAAATACCAACTTATTTTGAAAGGCTGCCCAGTGCCACTGAAAGCCTTCAGTGATTGCCCTGCTCACCAGTGGAACAGAGAACAATCTCACCTGGACTCACTGGATAACCACAGACAGAAAAAAACCCATGCTTGCCTTGGAGATGAAGCTCTTTGCCTTTAGAAAGGTGTAATGGCCCATCTTACCACAATATATTCCTAAGCTCCTGTCAATAGCAATTTGCCTGAAAAGTCATGAAGAAATGAAAATGCCAAAGTTTTTAAGTTTTATACACTCAGACAAGTTTCCTTGCAGAGATGAAAAAAAGTCAGCCTTCTCCTGTGATCACAGGCTGCCCAGGCACTCCAACAAGCATCCCAGTTCACTGTCAGTTGCCAAGTCACTGAGTGTACCATCTCTCAGTTTACATGGCATATCAAAAACATCTATCTGACAACCACTTCTTTGTTGACCTCCCATCCCTTCCTCACATCAAAATATTAGATGTTTTAGTGGTTGGTATACATTTACCTTCCAAAGCATCACAACACCATTATTCACTCCTTAGAGAAGATTTATCACTGCATTGAGATGAAGAGTACAAAAGGTGAAGTTTATTCTTAGTATCGTGTCTTGTGTAATTGATGAATAAAACCAGTCAAGTAGGGCTTAACAGTCAAAATTACCTACAAAGCCAAGCAGAACAAAACCCTGAAAGCAACAGGGAAGGGCTGAAGCAGTTAAACAATACAGTGTTACAACACCTCATAAACCTTTAAAAAAACAAAACCTCCTAAATTCCAAGAAGTAGACACTTAACTAATCTGTTCTTCCTGAAGCTGTCAGATGTCCCAAAACACCACCAATGCTTAGAAGTCATTCATCAGTTCTTCATATCTGCTGGAATTCCAGCTTTGATTTCTTTCTTCTGTCACTTTAACTGGTGGATCTCAACAGAAATAGGTATTGTCAAAGTTTGACTTTTTCTGGTTTTAACCCTGTTATATCTCTTCATAAAATACACTGGAGCAAAGAATGAGGCAAAATGTCTTCAGGACAGCCCATCTGTGAATGGTGACAGGCCTGCTTCCCAGGACTGCTCTTGTGTTTTCTTGCTTTGCAATAACACTCCAGCAAAAGTTGAGGATAAGTGGAGCATGTTTCTACAACTCAACTTTCTGACAATCAGTGCATTTAGCTCAAAGGTTTGGGAATGGCAGTAAGGCTGAGACAAAAATGAAAAATCCTGACAAGCCCACCATCAGTCCATAGCTTTCCTACTTATAAAATAGGGTCCATGTTTTGTCCCTATATCTTTGGAAAGCTATACAGGACCTTCAGTGTCTGCAACTGCTAGAAGCACAAAGCATTCACTTAAACTGCTCTAATTAGAATGCACAGACAATGAATGATTAATTAGCTTTCATACTCCTAGTAATTTTATCAGAGAGTTGGTACACCCTGTCTATGTAAAGCTTCCAGCTGCTCATAGGACAGGCTTTTGCTAGAGGACAGGGTGAAATCCTTTAGCCATATGTGTACCAGGATGTACAGGAACAGCACCAGATGGCTTCTACTGCCTGGAAACTACAGAGAAACCATCAGCCCTGAGGTTACACCTTCAGTGGCAAAATCTGCATTTCTGGTCAGAAGAAGCTGTATCTTGGAAGTATTTCAAGTAATTGCAGT